AAAACAGGACCCAACATTCTGCTGTTTGCAAAAAACACATCTCAACCACAAAGACAGACATCTACTCAGAGTAAAAAGTTGGAAAAGGTTTTTCAAGCAAATAGTCCTAAGAAAAAAGCAGGTGTGGCCATACGAATTTCTAATAAAACTGACTTCACACTAAAATCAATCAGAAGAGATCGAGATGGACACTTTATACTCATAACAGGAACAATTCATCAGGTTGAAGTCTCAATCCTGAATATCTACGCCCCTAATATAAAAGCACCCACTTATGTAAAAGAAATATTACTAGAACTCAAGGCAGACATCAAACAGACACACTAGTAGTAGGAGACTTCAACACTCCTCTTTCACCAAGGGACAGGTCAATCAGACAGAAACCTAATAGAGAATTAAGAGAATTGTTGAAGGTAATGAAGCAAATGGATTTAACAGACATCTATAGAACGCTCCACCCAAATAGGAAAGAATATACCTTCTTCTCTGCAGCTCATGGAACCTTCTTGAAAATTGACCATATACTCGGAAACAAAGGAAACCTCCACAGATACAAAAAAATATCAATGTCCACCTGTGTCTTATCAGATCACCACGGATTAAGGTTAGAAGGCAACAACACTGCTACCCCCAGAAAGCCGACAAACTCATGGAAACTGAACAGTCAACTACTGAACAACACCTGGGTCAAAGAAGAAATTAAGAAAGAAACCAGTCTTCCTTGAATTTAATGAAAATAAAGAGACAATATACTCAAACCTGTGGGACAATATGAAAGCAGTAATAAGAGGAAAGTTCATAGCACTAAGTGCCCACTTAAAGAAATCGGAGAAAGCATACATTGAGGACTTAACAGCACACCTGAGAGCTCTAGAAAAAAAAAAAGAAGCAGACACGCCCAGGAGGAGTAGAAGACAGGAAATAATCAAACTGAGGGCTGAAATCAATAAAATAGAAACACAGAAAACAGTCCAAAGAATCAATGAAACAATAAGATGGTTCTTGGAGAAAATCAACAAGATCGACAAACCCCTATCAAAACTAATTAAATGACAGAAAGAGAACATGCAAATAAATAAGATCAGAAATGAAAAGGGGGACATAACCACAAACACAGAGGAAATTCAGAGACTCATTAGATCTTACTACAAAAGCCTGTATGCCACACAACTTGAAAATGCAAAAGACATGGAAATATTTTTAGAAAAGTACCATATACCAAAGCTAAACCAAGACCAGGTAAATGATCTAAATTGACCTGTTAGTCACAAAGAATTAATTAGAAACTGTTATCAAAAATCTCCCTTCCAAAAAGAGCCCAGGACCTGATGGTTTCAATGCAGAATTCTACCAGAACTTCCAAGAAGACCTAATACCTATACTCCTTAATGTATTTTACAATATAGAAACAGAAGAGGCATTGCCAAATTCCTTTGATGAAGCTACAGTTACCCTGATACCAAAACCACACAAAGACCCAACCAGGAAAGAGAATTACAGGCCTATATCACTCATGAACATCGACGCAAAAATTCTCAATAAAATACTGACAAACCAAATCCAAGAACCACATTAGAAAAATTATCCATTATGATCAAGTAGGCTTCATCCCAGAGATGCAGGGCTGGTTCAACATACGCAAATCTATCAATGTAATCTACCATATAAATAAACTGAAAGAAAAAAACCATATGATCATTTCCTTAGATGCTGAAAAAGCATTTGACAAAATTCAACACCCCTTTATGATAAAGGTCTTGGAGAGATTAGGGATACAAGGTTCATACCTAAATATAATAAAAGCTATTTACAGCAAGCCGACAGCTAACATTAAATTAAACAGAGAAAAACTCAAAGCAATCCCACTAAAATCAGGAACACGACAAGGATGTCCACTCTCTCCATACCTCTTCAATATAGTGCTTAAAGTTCTATCAATAGCAATAAGACAACATAAGTGTATCAAGGGGATTCGTATTGGTAAGGAAGACTTTAAGCTTTCGTTATGTGCAGATGATATGATAGTATACATAAGCGACCCCAAAAACTCTACCAAAGAACTCCTACAGCTGATAAACACCTTTAGTAGCTTGGCAGGATACAAGATCAACTCCAAAAAATCAGTTGCCCTCCTATACACAAAGGATAAGGGAGCAGAGAGGGAAATCAGAGAAGCATCACCTTTCACGATAGCCACAAATAGCATAAAATATCTTGGGGTAACTCTAACCAAGGATGTGAAGGATCTATTTGACAAGAACTTTAAGTCCTTGAAGAAAGAAATTGAGGAGGATACCAGAAAATGGAAGGATCTCCCTTGCTCTTTCATTGGGAGGATCAACATAGTAAAAACGGCAATTCTACCAAGAGAAATTTATAGATTCAATGCAATCCCCATTAAAATCCCATCAAAATTCTTCACAGATCTTGAGAGGACAATAATCAGCTTTATATGGAAAAACAAAAAAACCCAGGATAGCCAAAACAATCTTATACAATAAAGGAACTTCTGGAGGCATTACCATCCCTGACTTCAAACTCTATTATAGAGCTTCAGTATTGAAAACAGCTTGGTATTGGCATAAAAACAGAGAAGTCGATCAATGGAATAGAGTAGAAGACACAGATTTTACCCCACAAACCTATGAACACCTGATTTTTAATAAAGGAGCTAAAAGTATTCAATGGAAGAAAGAAAGTATCTTCAACAAATGGTGCTGGCACAACTGGTTGTCAACCTGTAGAAGAATGAAAATAGATCCATATCTATCGCCATGCACAAAAGTCAAGTCCAAATGGATTAAAGACCTCAATATCAGGCTGAACACACTGAACCTGATAGAAGAGAAAGTGGGAAGTGCTCTACATCATATGGGCACTGGAGATCACTTCCTACGTTTAACCCCAGCAGCACAGACATTAAGGACAACATTGAATAAATAGGACCTCCTGAAACTGAGAAGCTTCTGTAAAGCAAAGGGCACTGTCACTAAGACAAAAAGGCAACCCACTGACTGGGAAAAGATCTTCACCAACCCTGCAACAGACAAAGGTCTGATCTCCAAAATATATAAAGAACTCAAGAAACTAGACTTTAAAATTCTAATTAACCCAATTAAAAAATGGGGCACTGAACTGAACAGAGAATTCTCAACAGAAGAAATTCAATAGGCCAAAAGACACTTAAGGTCATGCTAATTCTCCTTGGTGATCAGGGAAATGCAAATAAAAACAACTTTGAGATATCATCTTACACCTGTCAGAATGGCCAAAGTCAAAAACACCAAGGATAACCTTTGCTGGAGAGGCTGTGGAGGAAGGGGTACCCTCATCCATTGCTGGTGGGAATACAATCTTGTGCAACCACTATGGAAGTCAGTGTTTCGGTTTCTCAGGAAATTCGGGATCAACCTACCCCTGGACCCAGCAATACCACTCTTGGGAATATACCCAAGAGATGCCCTATCATATGACAAAAGCATTTGTTCAACTATGTTCATAGCAGTATTATTTGTAATAGCCAGAACCTGGAAACAACCTAGATGCCCTTCAATGGAAGAATGGATGAAGAAAGTATGGAATATCTACACATTAGAGTACTACGCTGCGATAAAAAACAATGACTTCTCGAATTTTGCATGCAAATGGATGGAAATAGAAAACACTATCCTGAGTGAGGTAACCCAGACCCAAAAAGATGAACATGGGATATACTCACTCATAATTTGTTTCTAGCCATAAATAAAGGGCATTGAGCATATAATTTGTGATTCTAGAGAAGCTAAATAAGAAGGTGAACCCAAAGAAAAGCATATAGTATCCGCCTGGATATGGGAAGTAGACAAGATTGCTGGGCAAAACCTGGGAACTTGGGGTGAGGTGTCATGGGGCTAAGAGGAAATGGGGTGAGAAACGTGAGAAGGAGAGAATGGGGGGGACCTTGGGGGAATGGGATGTTTGGGATAAAGGAAGGGTGGACACGGGAGCAGAGAAATATATATCCTAATTAAGGGAGCCATCTTAGGGTGGCAAGAAACTTTACTTTAGAGGGGACTCGCAGGTGTCCAGGGAGATGTCCCCAGCTAGTACCTTGAGCAACTGAGGAGAGGGAACCTGAAATGACCCTATCTTATAGCCATACTGATGAATATCTTGCATATCACCTTAGAACCTTCATCTGGCGATGGATCGAGATAGAGACAGAGACCCAAATTGGAGCACCGGAATGAGCTCTTAAGATGCAAATGAGGAGCAGAAGGAGGGAGAACATGAGCAAGGAAGTCAGGACCACGAGGGGTGCACCCACCCACAGTGACAGTGGAACTGATCTATTGGGAGCTCACCAAGGCCGGCGGGACTGGGACTGAATAAGTATGGGATGAAACCGGACTTTTTGAAGGTGGTGGACAATGAAGGCTGATGAGACGCCAAGGACAATGGCACTAGGTTTCGATCCTAGTACATGAACTGGCTTTGTGGGAGCCTAGCCTGTTTGGATGCTCACCTTCCTGGTCCTGGATAGAAGTGGGAGGACCTGGGACTTCCAGCAGGGCAGGGAATCTGGACTGCTCTTCATTCTCGAGAGGGAGGGGGAAAGGATTGGGGGGGAGGGGGAGAGAGGGGTGGGGGAGTGGGGGGAGGGGCGATGTGTGCGAGGAGGGGGAGGGAAATGGGAAATGGGGAGGAGACGGAAATATTTTTTTTGCAACAACTAAAAAAAATTAAATAAACAACAACAACCAAAAAAACAAATACTACAAAATAATCATGTTTGTCTTGAAAACCAATTGTTAAACTCAACAGTGAGCAGTATGAACCTTGTGAGATTTTGTGTTTTCTGTAAAATCTGTGTTTTAAATTTGTAACACCACAGTTATAATCAGATAGCCACCATGTTTATTTAGAATAAAAGTTGAGGAATTGTGGTTAATAGTTTTTTTTGTAAATGTGACACAAGCTAAAATCATCTAGGGAGATGGAACCTCAATTGAGTTGATTCCTCAATCAGATTGGCCTGTAGGTAGGTCTGTGAGATTTTCTTGATTAATGATTGGTGTGAGATGGTAAGCACATAGTTCTGTGCCATCCATGGACATGAAATTCTGAGTTGTATTAAAAGCAGCCTGAAAAGCTATGAGAGGAAAGACAATAAGCATCAATTCACCATGGCTTCTGCTTCTGTTCCTATCTCCAGCATCCTTGAGTTCCAGCTTTGATTTCCTTCGTGATGAACTAAACTATGAATATACTCAGTCTCCCCAAGTCTTTTGGCCAATTGGCAGAAAGCAAATAGGACAGATACTATAAATTTTGTAAACTAATTTATATTTTCAAAGTTAAGAAACTTCCTTACTTCTATTTCGAGAGGTCATAAAATGTTTATCTGTTAGAAATTTCATTGATATAAAAACAGAACATAAAGAAATTGCTTACATATTTTTACATCATAATATTAAAAATGAAAACTGATCATTTTGATATTCTTTACTTTCTATCTTCTATATCACCGAGTAAAACACAGCATTGTCACCTGAGAGGCAGATGAATTTGGATCTTAGTCTCCCAGTGGGAAAGTAACTGAAGATCTAGAAATAGTTGTACCAGATTCTCAATCCAGTGCTACATGAATAGCCAAGTGGAATACTCAGGAAGAGTGGCCATCACCTGTGAGAATACAGCACCAGCACTGTTAGAAGTTAACATTTACAACTTAGCCTCCTCAGTGCTTCAGGTGGGGTGTGCTGAGTGAGCTAAGGGTCCTAAAATAATTGGTTTCACTGACTTTAATTTACCAGGAATATTCAAGTTCCCCTCCTCACTGTGGATGAACTAAATAAAGCCTCTAACTGATGACAGTTTTTTTTTTCTCTTGTGATTCTACTGAGATGTAAACATAGCAGTCACTGTGACAAGGAATTCTCCTCAGAGGACAGAGAAGACAAGAGAACAGAAAACAGAAAGCATCCACAATTCTTCATTGCCCTCTTTCCTCTCTAAGGATCCCTATATAGGTGTTCTTCTATTTTTATCATGTAATGTTTTTTTTAATTTGTAAAACAAATTGCTTTTTCATTGGTATGCAGCTCCGTGGAAGAGCACATGCCTAGTGTGTGCAAGGTCCTGAGATCACTTCCTAGAACCACGAAAGACAAAATTTTTTCCTCTGTTCTTACACTAGCCTTAAGTTTGTAGGGTTGAATACACGTAACTGTTCTCAAATTTTAACAAATTCTTATTGGTCATTTGATGGATGCTGACTCTGGCACCAGAGATACAGGCTCTGGTTCCTAGGAACCAACTTCCCCCTCAAGAAGGCACAGGGGAAACATGGATACAGCAGTGGGTACAGAGACTACATTCTGAGAAACATTCTCAAGAAGCTCGTAAATGCCAGATGCTGGTATTTCAGATGATGAAACTGAGGAAAGGTTTTCTCACAGTATAAGGATTGAATACCATGATAAGAAACCCTCTTGTGTAACTGAGATCAATATTGACAGGAAGAGCAGCATCAGGAGAGGGACTAGAAACACCAAGACCATTACTGCAGGTATGTACAGGCTGTGTTCAGAAACTAGCAGAGAGGTCACTGAGGACTGGGGATGGGGTGAGGAGACACTAAGGATATTGGAAAAGATAGGGCTAATCAGACTTACAAATGGGATTTGTGACACATGGTGTGGTGGCCATGGCAATGACATCCACATGCAAAGGCCACAAGTCCAGAAAAGGTCAACATACAGAAATTTTCGACAGACAGCATCAGGGACTCAGTGCTTGCTCCTTTTAGTTTGCTATGAGTGAAAGGAACCATAAGAGTTGACAGTGCAAACTGTCAAGTCGGGATGTACCCCCCTCCACAGAGTGTTGTTACCTAGCATGCATGAAGTTCTGGTTTGATCTCCAGCACCACATAACACTCGTGTGGCAGCACATGATTGTAATACAGCACTTGGGAGATGAAGGCAGAAATTTCAGAAGTTCAAGGAGTTGGAAGTTACTATGGGCTACATGGAACCCTGTTTCTTAAGGAAGAAAGGACAGAAAGTGAACTATAATATTGAGCAACTGTATTAGATAACTATTCAAGAAGATTGAGCAATACTTGGTGATATATCATATACTCAGAGATAAAATAAATATCTTGTTACACATGGCTAGGAGAGAGAAAAAATGTGTCTAGACAGTACTCTCTCTAACCCAATTTCATCCGTCTGGCCTCTCTGTGATAGAACATCTGTCTTAGCAGCACCTTCATAACCCACACTGACGCTTTGTTATTCTAAGGGGTTAGCTTTCCAGGAACTCAAACGTCTTGCTGAAATCATCCCATAAACACATGTTCCTAGCTGAACAAGGAGAGGATAACACGCTCTGATTTACCTACAAGCTGCTGATCAAACAACCACAGTGGGTGCTCAGATAATATGAGAGCAGAGCTTAAAATTAGTTTCTTCAAAGCCAAAATTGTTGCCCTTTAGGTCAGATCTTGTTTTCACTATTAATTACAAATATATCTACAGTCTGTGGTCACCAAAACTCAAGCTTTAATTTTGTTCAGAACTAGACAGGTACAAATTTTACTGACCTTCTCATAGGCAGACCTCAGCAAAGGCTGACCCAGGTTCTCTAATGTAGACACTTTTTTGTCATGTCCGAAAAACCAAAACACAGCGAGCACTTCCAGGCCGTCATTAACACATCATGGGAGTGAAGACGGCTTGCACGTGTGTCATTCCAGCACCAGGACAGGAGCATGTCTCGTCTGCGTGACTCGGGACAGCTCCTCGCCTGCACCCTCTGCCTTCTTAGAGCAGTCATTTTTCACCTGAATCCTCACCTTTGGCCATTTTTTCATTAGTTTATGAGGCAGAGATCTCTTTTCAGCGACTTTCCTTCCCCTCTCTAGGCTGCAAACAGGATCTAAGGTAACAATGCATGTGAAAGCAGATGAAGAAGGGAACTTCCTGAGCTGAGCCGTGTTTGTCTCTGTCAGGTCCCTCTGAATGGGGACAGCTTTCAAGTGAAGACATGATTTGTAGTATCTGGGAAGACCATGCCAATAGATTTTCTAAAATGTAAAATTAAGGGACAAAATATCTCAGTAAATAAAAGTCATTACCATATAAACCTGATGTTCAATCCCCAAAACCAGTGATGGAAAGAGAGAACCAGCTCCCATAAATTGTTTTTTGACCATACACACAAACACAACACACACACACACACACACACACACACACACACACACACACACAGAGAGAGAGAGAGAGAGAGAGAGAGAGAGAGAGAGAGACATGGCATTCATACCCTCCACTCACATATATCATATGTGTGAACATGCACACACAGCTAACCATATTAATAAACTGAATTTTTAAATTAAAAGTAATGTTGGTTAAAAATGTTTTTGCATGTGAGAATAGCTAAACCCCTCTGAAAGGTACTTTTATATCTAGATTGTTCTTAGGTTGAGCATAAAATTGAGTGTGAAACTTAAAATCCAGACAAGGAAAACTTAAATTTGCTCTAAGGATAGGAAACAGTTCTCCAGCAGATGGCTCTCTAAGAACAGAGGAAGCCAAAGAACCTCACACATTCTGAACTACCACAAAATCCAGCTGCTCAAGACTCGTAAACTGGTCCTGATTCTAAGCCAGATGTGAAGATGCCAATGGAGACATTGTATGCTGACTGTTACTGTCTATGAGAGCAGATTCATTTGGAGTGTGCGGGGTATAAGTACAAAATTAAGGCGAGACCTGGTGTCACATGTAATCTCAGCTCTAAGGAAGTGGAGGCAGAAGAATCACCAGTCTGAGTCCAATCTGAGCTATATTGCAGGATTCTGCCTCCAAAAATTAGATAGTTACTTACAACAGATAACCATCTGAATTGATCCCTAACACACAAATGAGAATGTCCCCATGACAGTAAAAAGACTGGGCTTTTCTTAGGTCTGGCACCACTACGCTTAGGTTTTCCTCCTGACAAATCAAACCACCTGTCTGGACCAGACGTGGTGTGCTCTCCTGCAGCATACGCCACTTCCTCCTGTCCTCCTGTCTTGAGCACTGCTGTTATCATGTCCTCTACCTGCCCCCAGGGTGACTACATAGCGAGATGTGCTTTGCTATAAGGATGAGGACCCAGAAGTACATAATAAATGATATAAAATTTTGGGACATGAGGTCATCAATCATGAAACTAAGTCATATTACATATTACTCCACAAGTAATATTGTATACAGTATCACATTAACTCCTCACAACCCAGGTGGAAATATCAAAGTCTTTGTTTTACATGTGGGAAACTGACGTCTAAAGATGGTAAAAACTTTGGTAAAAATTCAGTTCAGTTTCACAGTGAAGCCAGGACTTACACTCAAGTGAATCCATTGGAAACCAGAAGCAGGGAAGTTTTCCCAGGACACTCTGTCACTCAGTGTTGGAGTTGGTTGGTCTGAGAGGCTCCACAGAGAGGGGTTTGCGCAGAACTAATTCTGTCTCTTTCTCCACTTTTAATTTCATTGCTCAATTTTTGGAATAATGCAGTTCCAATGGTTATTTCCCTACAATACAACAACGTTAATATTCTGTAGGTGAAGATAGTCTTAAAATGTGTAGAAATGAATCGGGCTTTGTCTTGATTAGCTCTGATGACTGTCGTCTTGACACACAGCCTAGAATCATCTGAGGGAAACTGTGTAGACAATATGGTCCGTGGGAAACTATCTTGATTACTAATTGATCTACTAGGCCCCCGACCACTGTGAGGCAGCATCATTTCCTTGGCAATATAAAAAAAGCTAATTTAGCACAATCCTGCCAGGGAGCCATTAAGCAGCATTCCATCCTGGTTTCTGCTGTTTTTCCTTAGCTGTGAGTTCCCTGATAAGAGACATGCCTGCTTCCCAGTTCCTGCCTTGAGTTCCTGTCCTGATTTCCTCAATAATAGAATGTAACCTGTAGTAAAAACAAATCCTTTCTTTCCCTAAATTGCTTCAGGTCAGAGAGTGTTTCATCACAACAGGCATGATGGCACTAGAACAGGATTCTATTGGAGATGGGATTGTCTCTGATAGTTCCAAGGTGAACTGTTGCTTTTTCATCATTGTTCTACAAAAATGATAGGAAATACATTCATATATGTGGGAAACCAATGAGACCCTTCATTTTAGTAGCTTGGCTATACGAAGAAACACTAGGAAACATGGGCAGAACCTACCCAAATCAGAACAAATATGATGGTTTTAAAACATCTTATATAGGCATTTAAATAGATCTATCACATCTTTTCTGATCTTTTCCTGGATGCAAGTAATGCCTAAATTCAAACATCAATAGGTAATATAAACCAAATACGGTTGCTCATGCCTGTAATCTCAAAACATGGAAGGCCTATACAGAAAAACTATCACAAGTTTAATGCCTGCCAGGTTATATAGTATGTTTCTGGGTAGTCTCAGCTACTGAGAGAGACCTTGCCTTAAAAAATAAAATAAAGTAAAAAACAGAGGTGTTATAATATCCACTAGTAACATCCACTGAACTCAGCCAGGCAGAGTATAAAAAAATCTTTTGAAAAAAGAAAAAGAACTTCCTACACACAAAGCTGTACCTCCTCCCCTGTCACAGAGAAAGAATAATTTCAGGGCACCCTCTGTCCTTGTTCACCTAGGACATGGCTGACTTCCCATGAGCTTCCCTGTGCTCTGAAATAGCATGCCTGTAGCTCCAAACATTTGCACCTCCAACTCCTTGCCCTTCAGGGTGCTCACTGAAGCAGTCATGTGACCGTGGGCACTGTCTCAGTTCTGAATGCTGTTTGTGGATGTGCAGCTATGCCTCCATTACAGTTTTCATGGCTAAGGTCGAAGGCAGAAATATTGGGCGCTTAAAAGAATCTCATGCTGGCTCAGAACTGAGAGATAGATATTTATTTAGGGGGAAAACTTAAAAATCAGGATTATCTGCTTGAACGGTGGATGGAGATCGGATCCAAAACAAGCCAAGCGGAAGGAGCAAACAGGAACAAGCGGGGGCAGAGAGAAGAGAGTGGACACACTTAGGCATCCAGGTAAATAGTCTGTGAGGACACACCCCAGTAGGTGGGTAAACATTCCTGCAGCACGTCCCCTTTTTGTTTAAATAAGAGAGTTCTAAACCTAATACAAGAGTATATACAATAAGAACAAATATCCTATTCTAACTAGCTTAAGTCTTATATAATAAATAACTTGGCCAAGTCATGAGCGGAAAGTAACTACACTAATCTAGTCTTCAACCCCACCGAAGATCCAAGAAGAGAAATAATGTTACTTGAGTGAGTAGGATGTGCAATCAAGCAACTTCCAAAATGTGCAACAAATGGCAGAGACAACTGGCTAGCTGGACAATCACCCAAAGTCTCATTTGCAACATTGAGCCAACCAACTTTGACTAAGGCCAAGAATAACTGACAGACTATTTTCAAAGGCAAGAAATTTTTTTAAAACCGTCATACCCTGTCTTGGCAAGATTTGACAGTCCTGCTTATCCATTTCCCGATACAATCTGGCATGAACGTCTCTGCATTAATTAGCAAAGAGACTGTTTATATCTAGACAGTAACTCAAAGTTTTTCTTAAGAGAATAGCCCAGCACAGACAGAGTAGCTCTACAAAAACACAGTACACTTTTAAATGTTCATCAACCAACCAATCAATCAATCAATAAATACAGCTCCTCCATTTAAGCCTACTATTCTCATCGAATTTACACAATGAAACCAACTAAGACACCCATTTTAATGTTAATGTTGTAAATTTAATTAGAATCACTGGGAGACACACAAGGTAGAGGGAGACATGAAAAGTCTTTCCAGAATGAATCTAATATTCACCTATAGTTAAGGGTCACACACATATATACATATATGTATGTGTGAGTGTATTTATGTATGTGATATATATACACAAATATATGTATGTATACATGTATATACAGGTGTATATATGTTTGCATGCCAGGGGCAGTAAATTTGTCTTTTAAAGGACAGTGCTATGAATGCATTGAGCTTTTGGTGTCATTTAGTATTTATTACAGTTCTCAGTTTTGAGCTATGATCCCAAAGTAGCCACACACAACATGTAAACGAGACCTGTAGTTGGACTCCAATAAAGCTTCACTCATAAACACTAAAGGTTAACGTTTACATAGCATATCCATGTCAAAAATATTGTTCCTGCATTTTTGTTCAGCCATTTAAAAAGGTAGAAACCATTCTTAGACCACAGGCGTGGGAAAACAGTGGCAGGCCACATTTTACTAGGCCAGTTTACCTAGTGAATTAAACTCACATCTTCTTTGTCATTTCTGAAATATGTGCTCAGAGACAAGGGTGTCTTCATGGTGAATTCACCACTTAGTTCAGCTCCTCTTGTCATGTCAGCCCAGCTACACACAGAAAACATTTCATCACCTGCAGAGAGACACAATCTCAAATCACAAATCTGATTTCAAAATTAATACCCAAAAATTAATAATATGTACTTGTAGTAGTAATTATAGATACATTGAACTTGGAGGTGGTATAGGCTGAAGGAGATTAGGAGAACAAAACTGAAGATGTTGGGGACCTCACATTTCTACAAGCAAAGAGAGTTGACCATCTTCCCAGGTAGGAACACATGCATGCTGGTGAAAAAGCCAGGTGCCTCATTCATCCCGGTAATTCACAGTAAAGGTCCACACTCCTACTCCAAACACTGAACCCACACTCGTGTACTGACCTTCCATGGAAGAGGTAACTTTGAGAGTCAAAGGGACAACAGCTGTGGAGGCCGGAGTGGCCAGAGACTCCCATCTCCTGGAGAGCTCGGTGGCACCCACATCAGCAGACACAGGAGAGGGGGATGGCATACCCTCTTCAAGCTTACCACTGCCTCTGGGGACCTCAACGTGCTCTTGTGTCACCAAGGCTAATGTGGGGTCTGGTTCTTGTGTGGCCATTGTCATCTCTTGTGTGATGTCTGCAAAGGAGGGAAAAGTGTTTAAACAAACCAAATTACTATACATTAAAGCCACTAGGATGTTATAAATTGAAAATCAGCAAATACTGATATCAAAGTGCCACCCTGTTAACCTCTGTGGAAGTGGGGCTCCCCTCAGTCCCTTCAAAGCTCTCTTGTGCTCCATGTGGTGGCTCTGTTCTCACCCGAATCTCTGCATGGTCTCCTGAATCTGTGGTCCTTGCCTGACTTACACTCTCAAATTTGGTGTCATCCCACTCATCACTTGGGACAGAAGAAACCGGAACAGCTGTGCTGACACTCACTGTGACCTTGAGGTCCCCCAGAAGACTCTCAGTTGATGGATCAATATTCAGAGCATCCTTAGGGGTTGTTTCCAAGTACGTGGTGGCAGTGGTCTGCACATTGTCATCTGATTCCTCCGAGGGCCTCTCCCCATCATGCTCTGTGTCTGCTGTGGAATCGACCCCAGGAAAGGCAGTCGTCCTCTTGGCTGCATCTGCGTCAGCTTTCTCTGTTCTTGGACTGGCAGCTAGCATTTCTTTGGTATTTATATAAGATGAAGGTGTATGTCCCAAGCTAACTGCTTCCTGACTTTCAGTTGCAAACAACTGATTATCCACATACTTCAGGAAGTCACGTGTTACAACTGTGATCCCTTCTACAATGGGCTGGGTGCTAGAGCTGCTCTGGGGCCCCTCCTGGTGAGGATTAAGAGAAGCAGGTGAAGAGACAGCAATGATTGACAAGGCCTTGGGAAGTCTCTGTTCAGAAGACTTTCCTTCAAGCTGACTGGGACCATGCCCTTGTTCACTGGCGGCTGAGACCGCTGGCTCAGTGGAAGACTGAAGATCAGGGATGTTAGGATTCAGAAGTCCAGCTCCAGGGCGGTGGTGTTCTTTGTTGACCGAGAAGACTTTATTTAATGGCATCACAGATGGTCCCACAGACAGTACCATAGGAGCTTCAAAGGATGTCTGCTGGGACATGTGCTCTGGAGCAGAGGAGATGTTTTCTTCTTCACCTGTTTCCATCTTCCAGGACTGCTCTGTCTGGGCATAAGCATGTGCCATCTCCCTCTTTTCCACTTTTGGGAAAGCTAGACATTGTGTGGCTAAGGTAAGGAAGAGAACGCTACAGAAAGGCACAGAGCTGGGCAACAGAGTCGGTCTGCTCATAGTGGAAGAGAAATACAGGTTGCAGGAGTTGACAGTTCCAGCAATCAAATCCTGTAGAAAAGTAAAGCACAGTACACTGTTATGTGGAGATATCTTGTACATAAGTTCCTTTAACTTAAGTCTGAAGTACAATATCTCATTGACTTCCTCCCAGAAAAAAAAAGAGATAGGAGGTGGCTGTTCTACTTCTTTGTCCTCTTGAGACATGGATAACCCAGTTCACTTTTCCCCTGTGAATTCTGCAGACAATTTAACTTAAAGCTCCCTAGAAAATGGTACACAAAATGACTGTAGAAATAGCACCATGTCTAGGAGATAGAAAATAAGTGTTACAAATACATTTAAAGAACTCTTGTGGTTCTGCGGTGTGTATGTTTGTGGCCCTAAAATTCACGTGAGGCCTAATAAGGACAGTGTTGGGAGAGGAGACTAAGAAAATTTGGTCATCAAGGCAGATCACTGATTAATGAGACCAGGTTCCTTGTGAAAGAGCCTTCAGATATCCCCTTCCCCTCTTGCCTATCATGTGAGGGCACATAAATACTTGGCTTCTGTGAACTAAGACCTAACCAGATACCACAGCTACTCTTGTCCTTAGCTTGGACTTCACAGCGCCCAGAAATACACGTTGAATTTGAGGAGTTTTACTGTTCTTATGTTGCAGCCAGAGTTGTGTACAATTCCCTTCTTCTCCCCCTGCCCCAGTTATGGTATCTTGCTACACATGAGTTCTGGTTTGTTTCAGTTCTGTTCAGGAAACTATCCATTCTTCTTTCCTTTCTTGAAATCTTACTAAACAAACCAAAGGATGAAAGGGGTGTTCTGGGGGCTGGAACTGCAGCTCAGTGACAGAGTGACTAATAACCATGCAGAAGGCCCTGAGTTCAAAACACAGAAAGGGCCTAAGAGCTTAGTCTACATGACACTATGTCTCTGGATAAAATCAGAGCAGCAGGAAACATCAAGGACTGTAACAGAGTTTAGAGGGGCATGGACTAGCATCAGGAAATTATTTCTGAATCTATTTTTCTTGTTAAAAGCTGAACAAATGTTGATTGCCTTGGGGTGGGCTACTCAGTCTAGGGTTAGTAACCCACCTGGCAGTCAGTTATTCCAGGGTCACGAAGAGGCACTACCTGGAAGATAATGGGCTAGGAAAGCGGAAGGAGGCTAAGCGAGAATTCTTGTCAAAGCCTCTCTTTATTAGAGACGGGGTACAACTTTTATAGGGTAAAGAGTTGGGGGGTGGGCACAGGGGCCTGGGCTCTTGCCGAATGGTTCACGTTGGTCACATGGTCCGAGTTGGTCACGTAGGCAGGAGGTTGTCTTCGGTCAGGTCACTGTAGGCCAAGAAGTCGCAAGTTGACACACCTAGATCCCTAGATAGTTTGGAATGTGGGGTGGGTTCCGCTAACAGATAGCTCTCATTAACAGCCAATTTGGGTGTGGGGTAGTCTCTGTCAATAGAACTATTCCTAACACAATTAAGGGTGTGGGGTTCTCTGCAGACTCCCCAGGGTGATGGTTCCTGCAATGATTTTAGGAGGAAATTGGCTCCTAACAGATCCCCCTTTCTTTGATAAAGACAGGCAGCTATTAAGTGAAGGGGATCAGGTCAGAGTCCAACCATGGTGTCAGATCTAAAGGAGAAGGGACTGGGACAAGGAGAGACCCTCCTCTCGAATGGTGAAGCAATTTACCTCTCCTGGGAACAGAGGGGTGCCTTATGATTCTTAGGTCGAGTGGGGACCAGGTCTTTATCCCCTTTACCCATCCTAGGATTCCCAGTATCCTGTCTTAGGTTGGGGGATTTCCTGCCACAAGTCAACCGTCCTTGGAGCTCCTCAAATGAAAGTATCTAGCGAGATTTAAAGTAAACAGATCACAGGGCACCCTGTCTTGGGCTATGTGGAGGGCACTCCTCGTGCCTGGCACCATGCCATTGTTGAGCCGGTTTCTACAACCTCTGTATGGTGTGCTGTTCAGGCGAGGATCCACAATATCTCCCGTCATTGGGCCCCTGCATCTATCATTAATAAAAAGGCTGCGAGGAGCTCCTCAAACAAAATATAATGATATCATTTTGGGCACCAATAACTCCATCTTCCAGACAAGAAGAAAGGGCGTTTTCCAAACCCAGTATTCACCTTTTAATCTGGCCTTAGGTATCCTCCTTCCTAAATGCCTATTCCACATAAAATTACGTGTGCTGCCTGCCAACAATTATGTCAGTGTAAAAGGGATCTAAATCTAAAATTTTTAACATATGCATTAAACCCAAACACTTTACAGCGTGTGTCAATCCTTTCCCAACATCTATAAGCAGTTATAAGTATCATTAGATCAATTTCAGTAAGAGCACAATGACATACATTGTTGTTATTAAATACTACCAGTTCCAGTCTCTGAGCAACAGTGACAGGAACCCTAATCTTCCCCCTTCTTAAGTGAAGAAGGGTTAATATTTTAATTAAAATTAGTTCAGTGTCCCAAAGATTAAAACTGTCAGATGTTTAGTCTGCATCAGAAGCAGCTTAGCATTTATGCTTCAGGGCAGGTGGGATTCCTGAGTGAGGTGAGTTGGAGTCAGCTATCTGAAGCACATCCTGGCACTTATCTCAGGCGGGTCTCCCTGGACTCTCTAGGGGCAGAAATGACACCCTGCAGAGTGGCCTAGCAGCTTCTGTTATCAGGTACTCCTCTCCTTGGGGGCAGGAAAGGCCGGACCTAGGACCTCTCCCCAGTCGCCTCTGGAACTCCTCTGTGGGCATCTGCAGCCTCGACATCAGATCCAGCTTTTATTTTCTTTCTGTGAAAAAAGCATAAACATATCCTCGACCCCAAATATATATAGGTCGGGTTTTTTCATAATGCGTTGTAAGGGCTTTTCCACCTTGCCCTAGCAAAGGTTAGCTTGGTGTTATCACGCCAGATCCATTTGCATCAGGATCTGCTTGCAACTTTTTATGAGTTGCTTTCAAGGAGCCTTGTTACGCTCCACAATTTTTTTTATTATTATTTTTAACCATATATGCACTTCCTCCATTGGAAGAGCCATTTGTAAAATTTAGCATAAAATCCTTTAAGGGATTTTTTGCTATAACATTAGCAAAATACAGGTGTGTGAATTGTAGCAATGATCTGGGAAAAGATTATTGTTTTTTGACCTTTGAATTGAGCAAAGGCAATTGTCCAGGAATCAATCTTAAAATTATCAATGGGTCTATTGTTTAGTATAAGAAGTATTGATCATAGTCAATATTTTGTCAAACCATTTTCCAGCTTTTATCCTGCCCTTTTGTACCAGACAGACTACTGTTTTAAATTAAGAGTTTAATATCTTAACTGGCAAAACTGAGAAGGTTTAGCCATAAACAGCATTTTTTATAAAACTGTTGTAGAATAAGTTTTCTATTTAATATACACACTTGTCATACCTGAATTATAATTAATATACTATATTTGTTGATTATTGTATACTTTACCTGTTGATTTATGTTCTACCTGCTTGAGTACCTGTTAGGCAGCTTTCTTTAAGCTCTCTATTGGAAACTGTTTTTTTGTAAGAATTTTACCTAGCGGCTCAAGGTCTTCCATAAGAATATTATAACTAGAGCTTTAACCATTGGACATCCAACCAAAAGTTTGTAAGCTATCCTCTTCTTAAGTTTTAAGTCTGCCTTGCATATAGAAAAATGGAAAAAGGAAGCATTTTAACTAATAATGCTGGCCTCATTAGACACCAACATGAGAAAAATAGAAAGAGATCCATATCCATCTCTATGTACAAAACTTAAGTTTAAATGAGCCAAAGGCCTCAGCATATAAAAATTATGTTGAACCTCACAGAGAAAAATTTTTTGAAGCACATTTTGCCACATCTTAAACACAGCCTCAGTGGCATAAACATTTGGAGAAAACCATAAATCTCCTGAACTGAGAAACTTTTGTATAACAAGGCTATATAGTGGGAAAAGATCTTTACTTATCATAAATCCATTCCAAAAATATATGAAGAACTCAGGAAATTAGTTATTAAAAATTTAATCCAAAAAATATTTGTTATAGACCTAAACTGAAAATTCTCAGATGAACTTAAAAATGACTGAGACAATTAAAAAATGTTTCCTTTATCCCTCAGAGAAATGTAAACCAAAACTCTGAGATTTTTATCTTATCCTTGTAAAAATAACCAAGATTAAAAATTATTGCTAACAATTTATGATTAAGAAAATGTGGGTAAGGAAAAAACCTTATTGTTGGAAGTGTAAACCTACAGTCATCTTTTGATCACACATAGTATTGAAAAACCTGGATAAACCAGACTCCTCCAGCAGGAAGAGAAGAATCAAAAATCCAGGGCCAGCCTGTTCAGCGACCCTGCACCAGGGACCAGCTGAAGACAAAACCAGACCTTGACCTAGAAAAACAGGTTTTTTAGCTGCTATTATCACAGTACTGTTTTAGGAACTAGCGGATTACAACCTTGGGAATGGTCCCCTTGGGAGTGGTCCCTTTTCTTAAAAATTTTTTCTCCTGGTCACTCGGGGTCGAACTCCTCCCCCGCCAACCAAGGCCATGTGCACGACTCAGCAAGGATGGTCTTTGGCGAGTCATGGGGGGGGGCCCATGCCATCCCAAGACCCAAGTGAGAGTCTCCCCAGCACTGAGGGACCCCCATTATGTCTATTTTTTAAAATTAGGCAAATATCTACCTCAAAACTTAGCAATATCCCTTTTGGGCCTAAATACAAAGTTGTTTAACCATAAGACCATGTGCTCAGCTATGCTTGCAGCAGAGTTACTTTACCCTAGCCAGAATCTGAAAATCCAAATGTATCTCTTTTACATCTAGGATAAATGAGACATCATCCTTTTAAATATCCATGAATAGCACAAAATATCTTGGAGTAACTTTAAGCAAGCAGGACAAAAGTTTTGGGTCCCGTCATCTCTGCCTGTGAAGGTGGAAATGTTTTTTATTTTTAACCATTATCACTTGTTAGAGTATAACTTTGGCCCTTGATA